ATCTGCGAAACTGTCGATTGTATGGTTATACAGGTATCCAGTTAACATAGTGAAAGAATGGAAACATTACCACGTTCAAGTTTATTTAAGACAATTGCAGATTCTTGACATTTACAGATATTGTTTTATAGTGGCCCCTTTAAAGACTTAACATTATAGTCCAAACATTTTATCTTTAATTTTTAAAAGAAAAAAACTTTTATGTAATAACAGAAAATAAATGGGTCAGAAAGGATAAACCATCAATCTTGTAGACAATTTTAAAAAGTTTGCCTGACAAAATGACAACAAATTATATAAAAAAAAAAAGGAATATTATTGCACTCTTTATACGATGAGTCAAAATCATTAAACCATTAACATATTGCCAAATCTTTGGCTTGAAAATACAAACGTCTCAATTCTTTACCTTCATACATAAAACACCAACTATGTGTTCCATATTCTTTGTTAATGCGTAAATCTCATTTAAAACAAAATGTTTCCAAATTTTAAACAAGCATAAAAAAATAAATTCCATTGGTCAGTACTAAATAAGTACAATTTCAGTTCACCTTCGTAAAGGAGTAGGTTCATAAAGGCCAAAATTATTCTGTATTTTAAATAATATGTATAATGTCTTTATATGTGCAAAAAATTGTCATTATATTGTCATAAACCATTCCATATCTGAAAATCTCTGCAAATCACTGAATAAAGCTTACCATTTAGACTTACATATTGATAAACGGAACGTTAATAAAAAGAAAAGTTAAATACTATTCATTGGTTTTCAGGTACCGACAGTTATTGTAGAAAAAAAAATTTGGTTGAGGCATGTGACCAAATTGAAAAATAATATGAAATAACCATTTTCCACAAAAAAAATTTCAATTTTTAAGGATAAATGAGATTTTCAAAATTTACTTTAAATTAAGAACTTGAGGTATATGAATATAAAATATCTTGAGAGAAATCAAATGAAAATCATTTATGTATGACATTTTAGATTTTTTTTCAGGGCAAATTTTTGACATTTGTGAACCTTCTCCTTTGTAGAGTAGCAAATTCCCAAAATTCTTTATTGTAAGTTTAAAAGACACAAATTCAAATGTGAACAAAATCACAGAATTATATCATAAACATGCAGATTACAATCTAACACAAAAAATGTTCCGATCATTTTACGGAGTACTACCAGAACACTACCAGTAAAATCTCAATATAATGGCCCCCTGTTCTATTTACCACATACAACTTTTTTATTTCTTTGCCAATCCCTCTATATTTTATCAATTCTTTCTGCAGGACAGATGTTGGCAGTATAATGAGGTTTAATGTGCACAAAAATCTCCATATATATTATGCCACTCTTTTAATTAACAACCTCACATACCACCAAATATATCAATGTCCCATTTCCTCATTCCTTAACAATAACTAAGTATGTGTCTCTTGAAGTATCGCCAAACCTCTTTATAATGCCATTTTTGGCTGAACAAATGGTGGCAGAATAATGAGATTTACTGTGCACCAAAACCTCCATATTACGCCACTCTTTTAATTAACAACCTCACATACCACCAAATATATCAATATCCCTTTTCCTTAACATGACCTCACAATGTGTTCCTTGATATATCACCAATCTCTTTATAATGCCATTGTTTGGCTGAACAAATGGTGGCAGTATATTGAGATTTACTGACTGTGTAACAAAGTTTCTCTACATGTAAGATATTACATAGAGACAGTTAAAACATTAACAGTATACACGCTTAAGATTAATATTTACAAATCTTCTAATATCTGAGATGTGCTGAACACAAGTAATGCTGATATTTTAATCGTTGTTAATGTGAATAAATGTATATAAATGCATCTACCATCTTACCGTTTCTCACTTTTTGGAGAGAAAAAAGGACATAGCTTGAAAATCTGACAGGATAATTAATGTACATATGGCTTTTAAATACTTGCAAACATGATTACTATGGCACACATATCGCATAAATGCTAAACTCAGATGAGCCAAAACCCTGTGTGTACAAAAAACTCCTGTTAACTCGAATTCTGATGAGTCAAAAACCCTTCAAGTACAAAAGACTCTGGTTTACATTGACTATATAGAGAATGACCCCCTGGGAGGGGGACATTATTAATGATTAACTCTATTGGGCATAAATTTGATCAAATGCAACAAAATTCAAATCAAAATGTATGCATTATAATGACATAAACATTTTATAATTTCCATATTTTTTGAACACCATAAATTTTACAGACAAACAAGAGGCCCAATGGGCCTGCATCGCTCACCTGGTATAAATCTCACACTTGCAACCTTAAAAGTGATCTAAAATAAAGCTACAGGCAAAATATCAGTATTTATGATTAAAGTCATTCAAAAGAACCTGTTAAAAGATTTCAAAACATTTCACCCCTGTTACTTTGAAAGTCGAACAAAGTCATTAGGTTGAACAAATTGTATAGCCTTTCATCTCAGTATGCAACTTGCAAAGTATCAACATCCTGGGACCCATGGTTATTCAGAAGTGGTCGTTTAAAGATTTTAAACAAATTTGACCCCTGTGACCCTGAATATAATTTCAAAGTCATTCACTTTAAAAACATAGTAGTCCTTGATCTGACTAAATATCAACATCCTGAGCCTTTTGGTTATTCAGAACAAGTTGTTTAAATATTTTGAACATATTTGCTCCTTGTGACCTTGAATATGATTCAAGGTCATACATTTAAACAAACTTTAAAGCCCTTTATCTCAGCATGCTTCTGGCCAAATATCATCACCCTGTGCATTTTGGTTATTCAGAAGAAGTTATTTAATGTTTTTCACATATTTGACCCCTGTGACCTTGAATATAGGTGAAGGTCATTCTAAACAAACTTGATAGCCCTTTACCCAAGCATGCTACTGGCCAAATATCATCTCCCTGGGAAGTTTGGTTATCGAGAAGAAGATGTTTAAAGTTTTTAACATATTTGACCCCTGTGACCTTGAATATGGGTGAAGGTCATTCATTTGAACAAACTTTGTAGCCCTTCATCTCAGCATGCTACTGGCCAAATATAATCACCCTGGGCATTTTGGTTATTCAGAAGATTTTTTTTATTAATGTTTTTCACATATTTGACCCCTGTGACCTTGAATATAGGTGAAGGTCATTCTAAACAAACTTGATAGCCCTTTACCCAAGCATGCTACTGGCCAAATATCATCACCCGGTGCATTATGGTTATTCAGAAGAAGTTGTTTAAAGTTTTTAACATATTTGACCCCTATGACCTTGAATATGGGTGAAGGTCATTCATTTGAACAAACTTTGTAGCACTTCATCTCAGCATGCTACTGGCCAAATATAATCACCCTGGGCATTTTGGTTATTCAGAAGATTTTTTTTATTAATGTTTTTCACATATTTGACCCCTGTGACCTTGAATATAGGTGAAGGTCATTCTAAACAAACTTGATAGCCCTTTACCCAAGCATGCTACTGGCCAAATATCATCACCCGGTGCATTATGGTTATTCAGAAGAAGTTGTTTAAAGTTTTTAACATATTTGACCCCGTGACCTTGAATATGGGTGAAGGTCATTCATTTGAACAAACTTTGTAGCACTTCATCTCAGCATGCTACTGGCCAAATATAATCACCCTGGGCATTTTGGTTATTCAGAAGATTTTTTTTATTAATGTTTTTCACATATTTGACCCCTGTGACCTTGAATATAGGTGAAGGTCATTCAAAACAAACTTGATAGCCCTTTACCCCAGCATGCTACTGGCCAAATATCATCACCCTGGGCATTTTGGTTATTCAGAAGAAGTTGTTTGAAGGTTTTTTTAAGACAATTGACCCCTGTGACCTTGAATATAATTGGTCATTCATTTGAACAAACTTCACCCAAGCATGCTACTGGCCAAATATCATCTCCCTGGGAAGTTTGGTTATCGAGAAGAAGATGTTTAAAGTTTTTAACATATTTGACCCCTGTGACCTTGAAAATGGGTGAAGGTAATTAATTTTAACTAAATTGGTAGCCCTTCATCCCAGTTTGCTTCTGGCCAAATATCGACACCCTAGGCCTTTCGATTATTAAGAAGAAGTCTTTTAAAATAAAATATTGACGCCGGACGCCGGACGGACGGACGGACGGACGCCGCGCCACGGCATAAGCTCACTTGGCACTTCGTGCCAGGTGAGCTAAAAACTGACAAATATATTAAGATATATGTATAATGCTACGCCGCGTCGCTAACTTATATACTGTACACTTATTTACACGGGAATACATACGTCAGCATATTTTTATGACAAACATTCTACTGATTATTAAATTACATGATATGCACATCCTCCACATTAAAGCTCTTTACAATGGAATCTCATCAATTCAGAAAGACAGCAATATAATTTTTCTTCAAGGAAATGAAATATCAGTACTTCTGAGTGACATTTCCTTTTTCATCAATCAGAAAATACATCTTCATTCTACATATAATTTCTTCCCTCGAAAACAAAGTATCTGAATAAAAGAGTTTTCAATGTAGATACACAGGTAGTTATATTTCATAAATTGGTGTAGAACTATTTACAATACATGTATATAACACACTGGAAACACGTATCAGCTACAACCAACAACTGTGTAGCATTTGTATTTCTAAGTGTTCTTTGTAGATATGACATTGGGCCAGCTGTAATGTATCAGAATGGCAAATTTCCAGTTTTTAATTTTTTTTTGGTCAAAATATCCGGAACATAACCTAGTTTGTTACTCTCTTTCAGTAACATTTTTCAAATATTTCCCAACCAACGACTCATAATTGTAAATGAGTTAGAGTAGGGAAGGTGGACTCATCGCAAGAAAATTAAAAAACCATTTGTTGGCATTTCCTCTGAACTGATATCGGTGGGCTGATTGATATGGTTAACCCTTTCACCACTGAAGACCATCATGGACTCATCCAGATGAATGCATGATAAAGTCTACTTAAGTTACCTAGGGGTGAAAGGGTTAAACAAAATTTTATTTTTAAACTTTTGCATGTCGTAAAAGTTTTTTTTTTGTAGATTAGACACTCTTTAAAGTTTAAACCTCGTAAAACAGTCTGTATGATAATTTCTATATCAATCTACTCATACAGTCATTCAAAACCTTTTTATACCAGATGCATCCTCAGGATATTTAATGCTTTACCATTAAATGCCAAATATATTTCATGAATATGACGGAATACTAATATTTTTTTCACAATGTGAAAGCTAATGTGAAAATATTGGTGTATCCTGCCATAATAGAGAAACACATATGTATACAGGGTAATATAATATTATTTGGCTTTCAGGGGGAAAAACATGTATTTTCCTAATTATTTCATTTTAAGTCCAATAAAAATAATACTGCATCAAAAAAATAAGTAGGAATTACTAATGGACACCATTTTCTAATGACGTGATGCTTCCAAATTTCCTGGGGGGGGGTTCCATGTGGGGAAAAAATTGAGGAAAATGGTGAAAATAAATGATTTTTAAAGAAAATTCTCAGGGTGGGAGGTTTCCTGAAGCCCAAAAATCCCCTCTGGATCCGTCACTGCCCCACCATTAGGCCAAATAAAAAAATCTTGTGTTTCCGCTAAACCCTACCTACCCTAGATTTGTGTGCCTACCCTAAAGTTTGTATTGGCATGTAGTGATAAGCACTGTTAAGTCAGAACTCCTGCTCTATATAAGCAAAGATAAAATATTTTCTAAAATAAAAATAAAAATGCCTATGTACCTAGGCTATTTTTCTGAGGATGTTAGTGGAACTGCAAATGATTTGTTTGGCCTAAAATTGTGGGCTTATAAAACAAAAGATGTGCTTTTGTTTAATTTTTGCACAAAGTATGATTTTTTTTGGCAATGTAATTGATTTCAATTATTTGCATTAAGGTTTGTTCATATATATATATATATGAAATGCTTCTCTGCCATGACATTGAATTCAATAACTTGCATCAAGACTTGTTTAATTACATTTTTAAATAGATGTAATGGTTTCTGCCATGAAATTGATCGAGTTCATAAATTTGCAAAGAGCTGATCATGACCCAGGCTTTGTTGCTTCTGAACCTGTCAGTTGTCTCCCCTCACCAGTACAGGACTGGGCCCCACATCATGGACCCTAATGCAGCCCCAGCCACCATGCCCATAGCCAGGTCACCGCCATCGTAGCGTCGGCGGCCGTACAGGTACTGATCTTGTTGTAATTGGTTCACATAGACAATGTTGTTCCCATGTTGACCAGCAGGCGGAGCCATTACTAAGGAAATATTAAAATGAAAGGTCAGATTAAACTTTTAGGTAAGATTGGAAAAGGATCATGAATGTCAGAAAACTTCTTTAAATTTTAAAAGTGAAATCAGCGTTAGCATGCTTTTGAAGATAGGCTACAGAAATAATTATTATTTTTATTTATGAACATGTCAGACAACAGAACAAATTTTGACAAGTATTTATTTAGAAAGGATTGGGACATAAGACTGTTTTTGGACCCTTGGAATTCTGGATTTTCTATATAGTGTTGGTCTAAAATGAGTATTAAATTTAATTCTTTTCTAATTATAAATTGGAACAGCAGAAAACCAAAAGTCTTAAAATTAGCCTCATGTGGATCCATCCTTTCACAGGATTCAACAGGATGTCAGAACAGGCCAGACCATGTTGTACAGGTGTAGCTTTGTTCTCAAAACATGAACAGAGACGAGGGGGGACACCAGCTAAGTCATCTGTATGGCCCGATACTAACATAATAGGGGAGGGGGCTAGATCTACACCCTTCCTGTAACCTATTTGATACAGTGTATCTACATCTATCGATAGACAAAATGTCCCGAGGCAAGTGACATAAAAATGTACAATTTCGTAAAATCGTTGTACAGGTAAACAATACAAATCGCTCACTCAGTCAAAGCTTTACAAAGGGAACAAACGGTCTTGAAACGTTGCGACATGTTTAATACATACATTATTTCTGTATAAAGTAAAACTTTGATATTACATATTTCCAAACTGATGAATCCTATTGAAGATATACCTGTAGTGTAAGGATTTGTAGACAACACCTGTCCAGGGTAATAATATTGGACCTGTTGCCGTGGATACATCACACTGTTGGCACCAGGAACCTGGTAGGGGTAGGAGCGCAGATCTGTGGCTAGGTTTGTCGTGTACATAGGATGTCCTGCTGTATAGGGAGGGGGCAAGGCATGCACTGCTGATCCAGGGGGGAGAACTCTTGCCTCCTCCAAAGCTATCTGCCATGCCCTAAAGTAATCAAAAACAGAGATTTTAGTCTCTCAACTTATCTGTTACAAACTCTCTACAAAACTTTTAATAATTAACAGGCCATTTGGATTGATTGCCTCACCTGTGCCCCGCTTTGTCACCATCAATGCACATGTCAAGTTTGGTTGGTCTAGCACTTCTAGTTTCAGAGAAACTAACTTAACCCAAAAACTTATGTGTTGATAACTTGATAAAGATGCTGACAAAGTCAGTGGACCATGAAAGGTAGGCCGCATCCAGCATTTGATAGTTTGGTTGGTCTAGCACTTATACAGTGAATCTAACTTAAACGCAAAAACTCAATGTTGACGCCACCGGCGGAAAAGCAACACCTAAGTCTCGCTTCCACCGGCGGGACAAATCAAATACAATGTCTTCCTTGTGTCCAATTACTGACAGATATTAAATGATATCACAATCCATGAACTACCTTGGGCATAGCATTGTTAGTCATGAATCTGTAGTGCTGTAAAATGGGCAGTTTCTATCATTTTATTTCAATAGTTTTTGAAAGGGAACAAATTTAACACAAGGTGAAAGTTGTTATTTATAAATATGTCAGGTATTTACAACATGACTTTCGGGTTGTTATAATGCTCCTTCACTTTGACAATTTCTATCGTATTTTCACAAAATTAATTAATTCACGCCTGAAGACACATTTGAACTACTCCGATTCAAAGGTTGGAATAGTTCATTACAAAATTTCAGGGGTAAATAAGTAAACGCCAAATCCCCCCCACAAGGCATGCTTCTTGTATATAATACAAAACCTCCAGAGAGCATATGGGTTCCTCTTATATTCCTTTCAGAAGACATCTGATTTAAAGATTGATACTAGGAATTGATTTTCAATGTTACTGTGATTCATGCATTAGGTCATCATGTGGAGTTTTGTAGTAAATTATACAAGAGGCCCAATGGCCCAGAATCGCTCACCTGGTATTAATCTCACACTTGTCAAATTAAAAGTGGACTAAAATATAGCTACAGGCAAAATATCAGTGTTTGATTCATAAAGAACCTATTAAAAGATTTAAACATAGGACGCCTGTGACCTTGAAAGTCAAACAAGAACATTAAGTTGAATAGAGTTTATAGCCTTCTATCCCAGCATGCTTCTTGCCAAATATCATTACCCTGGACCTTTTGTCAATTCAGAACAAGTCATTGAAAGATTAAAACATATTTGATCCCTGTGACCTTGAATATGGGCAAAGGTCATTCATTTGAACAAACTTTGTAGCCCTTCATCCGAGAATGCTACTGGCCAAATATCATCACCCTGGGCATTTTGGTTATTCAGAAGATTTTTTTTAAAGTTTTAACATATTTGACCCATGTGACCTTGAAAATAGGTGAACGTCATTTATTTGAACAAACTTGGTAGCCCTTCATCCCAGTTTGTTCCTGGCCAAATATCATCAACCTAGGCCTTTTGGTTATTACCAAGAAGAACTTGTTTAAAGTAAAATATTGATGCCGGACAATGGACGAACGGACGGACCGACAACGGACGGACGACCAACAGACGGATGACGAACGCCGCACCACGGCATAAGCTCACTTGGTCCTTTGGGCCCAGGTGAGCTAATTATACCAATGGTGTCTTTTTGAACTGAGACACAATTTTTTAAAACGGCTGACATCAACACCAAGGAGATGTTCTATAACTGACTTTAATTACCTCATGTCATCTGGGTCCTCAGCACAGAGCCGGAGTTCCCCATCCCGGAGAATCAAGGTGATCAGACAGTCCTTAGTTTTACCCTCGGGAGCTGAGATCTCACACTGCAAAATCAATTTGATGGATGTTGGAACCTGTCTTAATATGACATCTGTGTATTGCAACATCGTGTTAACTCAATCACCCCTGAAATTTCATAACAAACTATTCCAACTATTGAATTGGAAGAGTTCAAATGTGTCTTCAGGGGTGAACGAGTTAATCCAACAAATAGCCATAATCCTGTTTCTTAAGAAAACTGATGAGTAAGTTCTGTATATTAATGCTTCCTGTCTAATATGAATAGCATTTCATTTCCTATAGGGTATCGGATTAGATAGGTTTCAATATTGTCATAACCCCAACAGAAGATGACATTTAGAGAATAAAAGCTGACATTCAACCAGACACCGCAACAACAAGATTTTTTAAATATATAATAACTCACCATCTGCCCCGCCTGTATGGCACTGCACACAGCTCTAACTACGATCCGAGCCTCAGGTTCGTGACTGTTGGGACTCTCGAAGTATCGAAGGTCACCATCTTGGTATAACACAAACCATGTCTTCTTCCATCGACGAAGTATAGTACCTAGAAATTAGGTTGATATCAGTAAGTTCTCTTTCGCCACTTCCTTTTTTTAGACGAGTTCCTCAACTTGTGAGGTGTTTGGTACATTATTTATTTTCTCACTCGCATAAAGTACAGTAGCTATGCTATTTGCAGAAGTGCAACAAGGTTTGTTTGCCACATTGAAGAAGTCATCGACTGCATCAAACGACAGGGCCCAGTAAATGTTCAAAAGGTGATTAGCTTAATCAGTGATTAGCGCAAATTTTAATTTTTGAGTATCTTTAAAACTGAACCATTGAATTAGTTACAACTTTCCATATATCAAATATTTAGTAGAGTTAATTTACATACAAAATTACGAGTTTTACCTTGTATATTGACCAAATGATTAGAGATTGAAACATGTCGTTAAACACTGATTAAGCTAACCACCTTTTGAACAACTGTGCCCAGATCAATAAACCACCTATGCACTGCACTTGAATTGATATGATTTAGAGGATGCTTTTTAAATTTTGATGGCAAACTTCTATGTAATCACCTTTTACAGTTCAAGTTCTTTATTACTTTAAGTCGGTTGACTTATCTGTGAGTGAGTTATAACATATATACAAAACAATACAGAGACAACATACAATATGATACACACACACACACACACACACACACTGTGGAGAGTGAACACTAACCAGCAATCAGCTCAGATCTCCTTTTGTTTGCTTGTATTAAAAATTTGCCAAAATTTCGAATGTCAGATAAGTATACGTAGTTGAATTAATTTATACATGCTTGTATGAAATTTACCACAAAAATAAATCCCTCGTGAAATGAACTGCAGTATTAAAATATTGGTAATAAATCTGGGTTTTTTTCTCCATTATAAATAAAACCAACATTACAACCAAACCAGGCGCTAACCTTCTGACAAAGGGAGGTAATTCAGAACAGGTGCTAATGATGACCCGACAGTATACTTACTTTGACGATACAGCCATCCAGCCTTAGCAATCTCTAACGTCATTGTTCTGGTATACCTCTGTACTGTAAACAAATTTTAACAACATGTAACAACATGGTTCACTACTCTAGGATGCCTGGTCTTATTTTCATTTTCAAATTTCAAAATATATTACTTCAGTGTCAATTACAATTTAAAGAAATGAAATGGAGGTTTTAGAATTGGGGGAAAATGACCTGTACATTCAAATTTTGAATTTTGCATTAATGATAAATATTGAAAAATAATTCCACTGAAAGAGGACAAAGCAAATAAAACACTTTTTCTGGATCAGAATTACTTTCCTTGTCAGAATATACCTAAAGTTTATCATGATATATTGCAATACACATTGAATGTATTATGACATGTTTCATTGTTTACAGTGATGTCAATGAAGACTAGAATGTTAAATTTAAATGGAAGCTTTTGTCAGAATGTTCTCAAACTGAATTACTTATATGGATCACAAATATTTTAGATTTTACATTAAACCAACCACCAATTTCCCTGAATTTTCAAATGATTCCTCCAGTAGTAATACCCTGTTACAGATTGTTGTCATATCTGTTAGATTGTGAAGTAACTTGTAAATTAAGCTATACAGCTTGAGTGGATAAATAAAGAAAACCATATACAGTACGTGGTCAGGGATCAATCTATACTTAATTCACTACCGTTTATGGGTAGTTTCCCCTACAGAAGAAAATTCCCCTGTTCTTCGAAATTCCCCCATTTAAACAAGAAAATGGCAGATTTTCTTCAAAATATTTCTTCTGTATATGACTTCTTTAAAGTTCAACAGTTCAAATGCATAAAGCTGCATATAATACATTTTCTACAAATAATTTAAACAAAAAATCTACAATTTTAAGCTTAAATTGTTTATAAATTGAAATATAATGCACACATGTATGTCGGACAAAACATTTATCTTTTACCTTCATGACACTAGAGCATTATCAAAATTTTGATTTCCCCCAAATCTGAAAAATGGCAGTTTCACCTAAAACCTAGATTGATCCTGATGGTGTTTCATTATGTATTGCCATATTATGCGATCATGCCTGTGTATATTCCGATACATCGAGCGTTTATTGTGATAGTCCTAAATTAATTAGTACATGCAAATGCCAAAAGCAAGACAGGAACGTTCTGAGCACAGGGGTTCGCTACAAATGTCTGAAATACACATATGTTTATGTGTGCTGTGACCCAAATCAGTAGGCTATAGCATATGAGTATTTCAGACATTTGTAACGAACCCCTGTGTTCTGAGCATCCATTTTGCAACTCCATCAACTTTGCTGATATTGACGCGGTGTATTTTCATTCTATAAAAGATAGAAATTAAACACAAAATTCGCATCTAAACTAGTTCGATTCCATGTCATTCCAGTGGTGAGATAAAATCTAGCATCAAATGGTTTTTTCATGAGCTGTCAATAATGTCACTTGCACGTGATAGTTTTAATTTTTACGTCTTTGAGTTGGAGAAAATGTGCATTGAATAGAATCTATTTGCAAGCTAGTCATTTGTGGCAATTTTATATATAGCAATACCTGTGTGCTTTTCACAACTCTTCTGTTTTGCTTCTTTCCAGCAGATATGATTTGAGATAATTTTCTATCTGTCAAATATTTAAAGCAGCTGAGCAAAAACCAAAATATTAATAACCTTACTTCCGGTATTCTTTAAAAACACATGCGCACTGAAGGGATAATCCAATTTAAATAGGACGGTGAGAAGAATCCGGAACAGGTTTTGGGGTGTGATACGGCGAGGGCTGATATGGGTTAGAGCAATTGTGTCGTATCGCATATACAAAAAACCCGTATTTATTAGTAAGTATGTAATAAACTAACATAGTGTGGATTAAAAAACAGCATTTTATATAGTAAAGAAGATTAAGATTAAGAGAGAAAACTAATAGTAACATAAGTAGTAAAATTTGATTCAATACATGAAATATTATATTAATCCCAGCAATTCATATCACAGTCTATTTACCTTAAAAATGTTTCAGTAGTCGCATTGATTTTTTTTTAGCCAAGTACTAATTTCAGTGTTTGCGATGTGATATAGATTTTGTGCGGTGCCACAGAGCCATGTCATATAAATGTGTTCCATTGACTAACCAGAAAGTGTAAACTCTAGCCAGAGACATATAAAGCCAGTATATAACGTTACGTCTCTGCTCTAGTGTACGTCTGTTCAGAAAACCTAACCAATATAATGGCCACCAACTGCTACAAGACGACCTAAACAACCTGGGAAAATGGGCTAATCAATGGGGAATGAAATTCAACACCAAAAAATGATACGTAATGAACATCAAAGAAAAAAAGTCACAGATTCTACACCCTCACTGGAACAAGTGAAAAACAACCCCTACCTTGGACTCACAATTTCAGACGACCTCAAGTGGAACACCCACATACTGAAAATATCAAGAAAAGCCAGCTCGACCCGTGGCTTTAACAAAAGAAATCTAAAACATTACCCATCGTATTGTAAAAAAATCTGCATATAGATCCCTAGTACGATCTTTCCTTGAAAACGGCGCCATTATTTGGGACCCATATACCATTTTTTTGTTGTTAACAAACTGGAAAGAATACAGCGCTTGGTAGCCAGGTTCATTATAAGTGACTATAAGTCCAGGGAAGATGGGTGTGTCACAAGGTTGCTGAAGAACCTGGAACTACCAACACTCCTTGTCAGGCGAGCACAACAGAGGATCTCATTCATCTAATAAAAACAAGACAAAAAGGGAACATCAAAGCCAGAATCTTTTCAGACTATTTATCAAAAAAGTGGAAGAAACATCAGTGATATAAACAACTCTAAATCCTACACAGTACGAACGCACCAAAAACCTAATTGAACTAGCTCTCTCTCTCTCTCTCTCTCTCTCTCTCTCTCTCTCTCTCTCTCTCTCTCTCTCTCCCCCTCCAGTAAACATTTTGGAAACAGACGGAAATTATTTTGGCACGTGAATTATTCGCAATTAAATGAATGCGAACCCTTTTTCGCTTATGACACTAACTGGAGCTGGTAGTATGAAGCATTCTTGGCTTATATTCGCGTGTTTGCGCTAATTTACTCAACGCGAAAAAACACGAACATTTCCACATCGCATAAGATCAACTTTCACAGTAAATTCATCATAATATCGCTTTTAGCTCACCAGGCCCGAAGGGCGAAGCGAGCTTGTGCCGTTGTGCTGCGTCCGAATAAACAGCTTCTTTTCAATAACCAACCGGCCTAGGGTGACGCTGTTTGACCAGTACCTGCTGGGATAAAGGAACCTCCCAAGTATGTTCAAATGAATGACTTTGAGTCAAGGTCACAGGGGTCAAATATGTAACCGAAAGGCACAGAGTGACTATATCTGGCCAGTAGAATGCTGGGATGATGTGCTACCAATTTTGTTTAAATAAATGATATTGCCCAGACAGCCATGCAACAGAACTTGGGTTAAGATATGTTAAAAAAAGAGACATATTTTCAATAACCAAAAGTCCCATGGTGATGAAATCCGGCCAGTACCATGCTGTGATAAAGTCCTATCTAGTTTGTTCAAACGAATGACCTTGAGACACTTTCAAGTTCACGGGTTCAAATATGTTAAGATATGTAAACGACTTCGTCTAATTAACCAAATACCCCATGGTCTGCACTGTGCGAGTCAAACGACGCAATGGATCCCAGAAATGATCTTAAACAGCTGTAGATGTTGAAAATATGCAATAAACCTAGGTACCGAGCGCATTTCGTGAAACCTCCATGATGTGTTTTTACATTTATGTAACAGGAGAGGAAAAAGCATACTGATAGACCGGGATTTTAAGCAGGGAGATCTTAATTTTAGACGGGCGCTGGTAACCAGTCCAGTCCAGTTCAATCCCTATTGTCATGTTCCATAGGTGTTCTAAGTGCGACCGATAGGGACTTCTCTTATAGAAGGACTGAATTTACCTTTTTCTTTTTTTAACAAAATCGCTCTATAAACTCGTGTTTGCGTTTGTTATTTCCAGAACATTAAGTAGGTTCTTTTCGACAAGATATTGATATTTTGGAATTTTGGATATTACATTTCCTAAAAAATTAGTTGATACTAAATAATGATATTTACAAAATGGACCCACGAATCTTCTGTATATCTGTTTCCAATATCAAAGCATTACATCTTTGGATTAAAACAAATGCTCCAGACATCATTGGTTTGAACTCTTTTTGAATTCATATAATCTATTTGGTTCCAAATAAAGATAAAATGCATTGAAAACTTGCAGTACAAAGGAGGAAAACTTTGAATTGACTCTATTCCATGGGAGGCCGGTACGGAATGCCAAATGCGCAATGTTCATTTTCAATGCCAAATACTCAATGCTTATTTTCAATGCCAAATGCCCAAATGCTAATTGCTAAATGAGTATTGCGAAATTATAATGCCTAATCTAAAACGTCGAATGCTCTCGTGAATTTTGAATGCCAAGAGAGATACACGTTATATATATTTATATTTTAAAGTAGAAGACATTAAATCATTCTCTAAAGCTGTTTCTAGAACAAAATATAGCTAGTGCCATTCTCCATTTTCTTTTAACATGAGGGTGTTAATGCGAAAAGCTTATTGTCAAATGCTAAATGCGTTTAATGCCAATTGCGCAAACCGATTGCGAAATACAAAATGTAAAATGCCAATTGCAACAGCTGAAATGCCCATTTCAAAGAAAGTAGAAAAGGGGGTTAGTTGAGCTACCTTTTTTCCCCCATGAAACAGCCAAACGAAAATAATTCATTGCTTCTAATCAATGCATGTATCTCTCTTGGTTTAAACAATATTTTATTAACAAATATGCTGTACATGGTATATAATTTTACATAATGTAATATAAGGGATCTGGCAACAAGAGGAGGCTCTTAGATTAAGTATCTCTCTTGGCGATTACAATCCGGATTTGACCTATTAGTTTTATAATTTAACATTAGGCATCGGCAATCTGCATTGAGCATTTGGCATATGACATTACGTATTTCATAGTCTACATTCGTATTGCGTACCTGTCTTCCATACTAAACTGAAAGTCAGACATACAAAAGTTTAACAGACAAATACGCATAAAATGTACAGATTTTTACGCATTAGACATACAGAGAGATACGCAACTTATATACAGACAGACCGATTGCGAAATATATAATGCCAAATATTTAATGTCGATTGCAATAACTGAAATCCACATTTATACAGACAGACAGACACAAGATACGCGCTGATATACACGCAACAGACATACAGATAATAAACGACGAACAGACAGACACACAACAACTGACGTACAGACAGACACACAACAGCTGACATACAGACAGATACACAACAACAGACTTACAGACAGATACACAACAACAACAGACGTACAGACAGATACACAACAACTGACGTACAGACAGACACACAACAGCTGACGTACAGACAGATACACAACAACAGACGTACAGACAGATACACAACAACTGTCGTACAGACAGATACACAACAACTGACGGACAGACATACATAATAACAACAGAAAGACAAACATACATACAGACAGACAGATACATACCTATACAGACAGATATGTGACTGACGTACAGATGTATATATTCACAATTAAAGTACAGACAGTCACTAAACGGACGTACAGACAGCCACGCAACAGAACTGAATTTAGTTGCCATTATAAGACTTAATTTGTTTATTCAGATGTGGTACAACTTCACCACCTCTAAAACAGCAAGATATGTAAATGGTAGGGTTGTGATCGCATACTCTGAATTTAGTGTATATTATCCTACCTTGGATATTTAAAGATACTAATTATACTCAGTCAGCTTTGTGCTAGTTATATTAGGCGCGGACTGGAGGGGGCATACAGGTGTTGGAGTGGGGAGGGGAAGCGATAGTGGGAGTTGGGGTGGGAACGGGAAATTGACGTATCATATCTATGCTACATACGGTGATAACAAATGTCTAACAGGCCCTACGCATTACTTCTCGGTATTTTGAACAGCGGCCGAGGGAAAAACGATTTTGTTTAGGAAATGTTTATACATATGTACTCCTATCTGGGGGCCAAATGACCTTTCTCCTTGTATATGTTAGAGTTCAGTTTAGCTTCACATTTGATGAGATTTTAGGTCATTTCAATGTTGTATTATTTTAATTCGAATAAAAATTTCATGGGAAGATGGTAGATATAAATTATTTTCAAGTATCATCGGATATTTAAAAGTATTATAACCGACCGTAACATTTTTTTTTAATCCAAGTATACTAACCGACCGTAACATTTTTTGTTAATTCGTAGGAGGCGACTAGTGAGGAACATACTGGTGAATTGGGGATTCGCTTTTGTGTACTCTACTTGGGGTCACAAAAGCGACCAAAATAAAACTGCTGCACCCTTTGCAATATTTGGGATCTTTATCTTTCTTTCTACTTCTAACTACGTTTTATTTCCTAGCGCCTTGCTTGGCAACACCTCACTTTTGGCCTTGATGTTGAGCGTTCTGTTCTCTGTTAAAACTGAACATATAATTATGGTTTCTTGATCTCATTTTATTTTGCTTCAAAAATAATCGTACTTAAATTATTCAATTCCTTATAGTTCTGTAGAGTTAATAACTG